TTTTTTGGTACCGGGGGATTGAACTTGCGACCTTGTGCTTGAGGCAACACCACTGAGCTAAATCCCTGGCCCTATTTTGTTTTTCCTGATTATAAGAGTATTGCTTTTTTTTTTTTGAGACAGGGTCTTGCTATGGAGTTCCAGCTGATCTTGAACGCACTGTGTAGCCCAGACTGGCTTCCAAATCACAGTGATCCTTCTGCATCAGCCTCCTGAGTGCTGGCACTGCAGATGTGCACCACCACGCTTGGCTTTTTGATATTTTTTTTTAAATGGTGGCTTTTGGGTGTATTTTTCCTCTCTTTTCTATATGAATATACATTATTTACACATACCCATTTATGGGTGTTTTTTAAAAATACCAAAATTATAATCAAGTTGTGTGTTTGGAATTTCTTTCACTTGATCGTAAATATTTTATGTGCTCGTTATTAAACAGTGTAGATGTTAATATTTTGGCATACACACACACACACACACACACACACACTTGCATATTGTAGATGTGTTTCTAAGTGTGTGTGTACATACGTACATATCACATACTTCTGCTTCGTGACATTCTTATACTGGGACAAAACACCTGACACCCAGAAGCAAGGATTTATTTATTTTGCCTTCAGAAGTTTTAGCCTGTGGTTGGCTGGCTCCAGGGCAGAAGCAGCTGGACAGGTGCACAGCACAGGGCAGCTCTTTGAGTCCTGGTATGTGGGTAGCAGAGGAGGGAGGGAGACGCACCCTTCCAGGATGGCCCAAGTAAGCCCCTTGTGAGCAGGCCCGCTCCTCGCAGCACATCTAGCTATGGACTCAGCAATTAATCCACTGTGATCCATTCACCTTCAAAGCCCCACTTCTTTTTTATTTGTTTTTGGGACTGGGTCTCAGTATGTACATAGTTCAGACTGGCCTTAACTCACATAGCCAGGCTGGCCTCAAACGTACTGTGATCCTCCTGCGTCAGCTTCCCCGGTACTGGGATACGGGTGTGTGCCACTGCTTCCGGCATCAGTTTTTTAATGGTTGCATAGCGCTGCACTATTTATTTATTAAATTAGCCTGTTTCCTTTTAGTGGACAGTGTTTCAGCATTTGCTGTTAAGATTGGCCCTGGGTCCATGGGCCCTGCACAGATTCAGCCTACTGCAAAAGTAATCAAATACATCAAAACCGCAAGTAATGCGTCTGTCCTGATGCTGTTCTCCCTTTAGGAGCACAGTGTAGCAGCTTTGTTCTAGGGGCTCCCGACCTTCCTTTCAGTGTCTGCATCCTGGTCCTGCGATGGGGTCACTCGCTAAATAGGTCACCGAAGGAGGAGTTTACACAGCATATACCTTGCAGCACGAAGAGCAAAGAGATGGTCCAAGGAGACGCCACCTGGGTGACTTTGCTTGTAGGTGCATAACTTAAATGCAGCACTGTAGTTACAACAGAGCCTACAACTACTGTACAGTACAATCAGCAAAACTTACAGCACGGTGTCACCAAGGTGTACTGCGCAAAAAAGACACTGAGCTCTGTAAACAAGACTTACAGAACTGGGCCAAAAAAAGGATGGGTCAGGGGTCCAAGGGGTGGGTCAGATGTCCCAACTGCACCTCATTCAGAAGCGTGAGCAGGTCATTAAAGGAGGAGTGTCTGTAATTTGGAGAGGACTGAGCATACAGCAGGCCGTGCCAAGGTTACATGCGAACATTAGGCCATTTCATGTAAGAGACCGGGCTCAGGTGGTCTTTCGTTCCTTTGAGATGGGATCTGCTATGCAGTCCAGGCCAGTTTGAACTTGTTTATGTGGCCCAGGCTGGCCTGCCTCGGCCTCTCTCTCACTGGGCTGGCAGGTTGCACACCAGGCCCGGCTCCTGTGGATTGTGGTGTCCAGGGTGTTGACTGTGTCTGGGGATGCCGAGAACTTTCATGTGCGTGTACTTGGGTGATGCACCTACTGTAATCATTTTCTTAGGATGGATTTTGAAAGGAAAACTTATTAGTGTAAGTGCTGTACCCAGTTAAAAACGGGTGCAGCTACCACGTACTTCCTGTCTGTTATACTTCTTGTCCACCAAAAATTCATACACAAAACAATTTATACCCCACTGATGTATTTCTGTAAAACACCACACACTTGATCATCACCATGATAACCCGTTGTTCTGACATCTTCGGTGCTTTTTTCCCTGTAGTTTCCCACTGGGTGAAGGGGCTGAGGGACGCGATACATAGGCCACCAGTGTGAGCAGCTGGTGCTGCTCTGCTCTGGACCTGGGGTTACCATAGCAACACGGACTTCAGACTCCTTTCCGGCAGACGGGGCTTAGTGTGGGCTTGGGGTGCCAGAGCCATTGACCACACTCCTGCGCCTACCCCAGAGCAGGCCACAGCCATCGTGATGCCCTGCAGGAGCGCGGGAACCCTGGGTGCCTCTGGGCTTGCTCCGGGTTAGCAGCTCTCTGTTCCAGCTTTGCTGGGGCAGGGTCGTTGGCAGGGTGCCCAAGCCTTCCAGGCCTGCTTTGTACCTGGGGCGTCTTGGTGGGAAGAAGCATCCAGCTTCTCCCCAGAGGGGCAGGCCATTGAGTTCCACCTGTGCTCAGAGGTAGGCAGAGATGGGGTGTGGGTTCTGCTCCCCTCAGGACGGACCACTGGAGTCCTGGCCCTCTCCCATCTGCTTAGGGCTTCTGCTGTGGGTCTCAGGAGATGAGTCGGAAAAATGGCTGGGGCGGGGTCTGTCCAGGGCCTGTGTACTCCTGCAGCACAGCCAGGGTCCTGGGGGTTCTGTAATCGTTTGTCAAGTGTGGCTGTTTTCTTCCCACCCAGACTTGTGGAGCTGCCTCTTTCTCCTGCGCTCTGCCAGAGCTGTTTCTTCAACAGAGCCTGCCGGTCTGGAATTCAGTCAGTCGGCAGTGTCAGGCCGGCCGAGGAGGTCTGGTGTCGTCGTCACCGTCCACCCCCACTGGCTCTCTTCTTGGTAACGCTTTATGGCTTGAAATCAGCCAGGCTGGGGGGCTGTGCCAGGGAGAATGGCACTGTGCCACACCAGTGCCCCCTTTCCTTCTGAGAAGCAGCTACTAGACATGTGCCTCATCCCGAGTCCCATCCACCTGGTTACCTCGTGGCAGGTGCTCTCTGGGCTGAAGAAAAGGAGGCCTTCTGTGGGCTGTGTGATTTCTGGTTCAGGTGGGAGCAGTGTTCCCAAGTTCTGCACACTGAACGGAAGCAGGACTCATGTATGCTGTGGTGACCAGTGAGTTAGAGGAGCTTGTTTAAAGCTTCTGGCTTTTCGAAGTCTCACAGAAAGGTGAAACATGTGAGTGAATCAGTAATGTTTGTAAGAGGAGGTTTTCCAAGAGGACGAGCCAAGAGATAAGGGAAAAGCTTATCCTCTGTGAATAAAGTGAAGTTTGGAAGGGAGCATACCGTCGTCTGTGCGTGAAAAGCCTAACGGCCTTGAGAAGGTGCTCAGGCTGCGGTGGCAGGGTCCCCTGGGAAGTGTCAGACCTGAGTCCAAGCAGGCAGCGAGTCCCCGGTGTGTGCCCGAACTGCCAGCGCAGCGAGGTGTGGCCGGGAGAGGTGGGGCTCTGAGCCGTGTCGCAGGAGCGTGTGGATGGATGAGTGTGCGGCGTCTGTCGTGGAGTCACATCCACAGCGCGCACTCTGTGCCGTGTGTTCACTGCTGTGTGTCTGACCTCGTCCCTGTTGCAGAGCACTCCATTTTCCCTGAGTAGAGTAGGGGATGTTCAGCTGTCCACCCCTGCTTTTCTGTGACAGGTTCTTAATCCTGGTCCGTGGTCTTCCCCACTCTACCTCAGCCTCTGTAAAATTATTTTATTATCTTAAGCCAAACACTAGGAATTCAAATATGTTGTCACAAAAACAAGCCCTTCTTGTCTGTGCCACTGTCGTCCCGCCTGAGGCAGCAGGAGCGGATGGTGCCCTTGAGGCTCTCAGGCAGCTTTCTGGGAACGGCTGCTCAGGGAGCCACAGCCTCTGTGCTCTCTCTGACAGGTATACCATCAAAGGCATCAGGAACTTGATATTCTACGAGCTGCCGACCTACCCTCACTTCTACAGTGAAGTCTGCAACATGCTGAGAGCCACCAGCAGGGGAGAGGAAGCCACGTGGACCTGCACCGTCCTCTACTCCAAGTATGACGCCCAGCGCCTGGCAGCCGTGGTGGGCATGGAGCGGGCAGCACAGATGCTGCAGTCCAAGAAGAACGTCCACCTCTTCATCACTGGAGAGCAGTGAGCCAAGGTCAGCAGGTGCTGCTGCGCTGATGGAGGAGCCGTTCCTGACCTCCCGCAGGAGAAGGGCGGGAAGGAAAGGACGCGGGGGCAGTTCTTTGTTGCCAACCCTTCCTTCTCAGTCCTGTGTCCCTGAAGAGTTAGGTGTTAACTATATTTTGTGAGGTCAGCGGGGACCTACATGGACTCTGAGAAATTGTGAACTTATCTTTTTGTAAGCCATAAGTTTTTGTGTACCTCTAATTTATTACACTTGGCGGATTCTTTCAGATTTGTCTGTTTGACCCTTCTTGGAGTAAAGCATACATGTCATTGCCTGTGAGCACAGATTAGAAGAAATCCAAATACTTCTAATGGCTAGGTGTGGTCTTATTAATTTTGGATGGTACAGATCTTGTGATGCTTATTTTTCTCCAGCCAAGCATGGTGGTGCACACTTGTAATCCCAGCACTGGGGAGACTGAGGCAAAGGATTGTCATGAGTTTGAGGCCAGCCTAGAGCACATAGTTCAAGACAAGCCTGGACTCTTGTTTCAAAAAGTACAGGGAGAAAAAAAAAGATCTGGATGTGGTTGCCCACAGCTCTGGTCCCAGCACTCAGGAGGCTGAGGCAGAAGGATTGCTACAAATCTGAGGCCAGCCTGGACTACCGTGCGCATTCCGGGTCAGCCTGAACTACATAACAAGCCCTGGCTCAGAAAAATAATCTTATAAATATTTAATTTTATCAACAAAGTTAATTTAAAATTTTTAATTTTAACTCAACCTAGAAAAGTACATTTATTCAGTAATCTTTAACTCAAAATGGTAAATGTTTTAATTTAGTTAAAACATGCATTTAAAACCATAAAATAAGAATTTCTATTTCAGGAAGAAATTTTGTTGGAATGCAGTATTGAAATACTCTTCAACTCCATTGTCTTATTGTGGCTGTAATCACTTTTTGTCATGTGACAGATAGAAAGGAAATTAATAGCACTTAAAATTTTTTTGTTTTGAAATGGTCTTAAATATGAAAAACTATGAGTGCACAACCTGTGCCATCCGAGGATAAAATGCCAACCCCACGGGCCTGTCAGCCTTCGGTTCTTCAGTGTGTTTCTTATGAGCAGGTCATGGTTCTCTCGAACCACAGGGAAGCCAGGAGTTACATAAGGAAATGGCCATCAGTGCTCACTGCCAGCTGGTGCTGCCAGCCCATGCCAGGTGCACCAGTGAAGTCCTGGACGGCAGACAAACAGTTCAGTCACCTGCTGCCTTTAGTTGCTGTGTCTGGATTGGTGTCTTTGTCTTAGCTACTTTTCTCATTGCTGAAACAAGATATCTGACACCCAAAGTGAAAGGAGGAAAGGTTTATTGTAGCTCACAGTTTGTAGAGGTTTCAGTTCACAGTTGGCCAGGTCCCCCGGGCAGAGTGGCACGTGGCAGAGGGACATTGCAGAGGAGAAACAGTTCATGTGGGCAGAAGGCAGCAAAGCAGTGAAGTAGCAAGCAGCAAGCAACCAAGAAGTGGCTCTCTTCCTTTCCCTTATATTCTCTCCATGCTGCAGACCCTCAGGGTGGGCCCTGCCATCATCCACACCCGAACTGTGCCAGACGAGTCAGAGGACCGTTTTAGTATGCTCACGCCCTTAATCCCAGCATCACATGCTAGATCCAGCCAGCTCTGAAAAGCTCGTCTCTGACCACATGAGACTCGGGGGGGCCATGTAGGAACAGCCATAACGATCTGGAACAGTTTGTAGTTTCTCACTGGCTTTCTTGACCTTTACATCTTTGGAGATTACAAACCAGTTATTTTGTAGGACATTTTTTTGGTGAAGCATGATGGAAGTGATACTTTTCCTTCCCTGCGTCCCTCTGAGTGGTGTGATTTTGGTTTGGCCCACCCTGCACCGTCCACGGTGGCCTTTGGCAGACTACCCGACACCGGTGTGGACGATGGTTCCTTTCGTTGAGCAGGTGCAGTGTCGCTTCGTTTCTTTGTGTGTGGCCCTGGTCTCACACATGGCCAGTCAACACACCTGCACGCTGGGGTCTGTCCCTTTGGCGTGTACTCCTCCGCGGGCACTGCTGTGATCTCTGACGAGAGGGCATTCCGGGCTTGTGCGCCGGTCCTGCTGTCTCCCAGTGTAAAGTTGCCCTGGAGCCAGCCACCTTAGCAGCTGGAGTTGGGCGTGTGTGTACGCGATGCCCAAGTGTGTTTCTGTGTCCACACACCAGAAGTCAGAGGCGCACACCTACCTCGATTCCAGTCTGGCCACGGGGCTCCTCATTTCCCTGCTTTCTGTCTCTGTCATAGCTGTTCTCAGACAGTGGCTCCAGTTACCTCAGCACAACAACCCATAACTGATACAGATTTTATTTGCGGTCACATTGGCTTATCAGGAAAGTGACATGGGAGGGTAGCTTTCCTGCTAAATCTTGACAGTAGAAGTCACACTGTTTTCCTCAGCATGAATAGAAGCACTTACTGTATACAGAGTGCTAGACAAACACTGTCCGTGGTGGTGCCCGGTGTTGTCAGCAAGCATACTGTGCTTCTGTGTTTATTTCTCTGGCTCAGAGGGAAGTTAGAGGACTGATCACTCCTGTCTCTGTGTTCGCATCATTCTCCCTGTGAACTGAGTTCATCTTACAGCTCTCGTTATTCCTGCTCCCAAGCTTTTCCAGCCCCCTCCGCTGTGCTCCATGTGTCCGTGGGAGCTGGGCTTCAGGTCTGCGGTGTCACTCCACAAATCCATTTTCTTAAGCAGCCCTGGCAGTTGGAACCAAATCGATCCAGCCGCTTCTTGCTTGAAGAGAGCACTGAGGACGTCAAGGGCGCACGAGGCAGTAGTGCTGTGTTATGGCTCAGCACTGGAAAGGAGGTAGGCCTCGCGCGGGCTTGGCTTGCCTTACAGAGGGTTGAGTCACTGGAGTGGTTTCTTTCGGAGGAGGCCTGAACCTCTGTCCCAGTCTCACACACCCATAGGAGAGGCCACAATAATAAAGCAGAAACTGGAGTTAGACCACCCGGGAATTCCTTGGTAGGGCTCATTTGCTGCAAGGGAGCCTCAGGAGTGACCAGAGAGCAGGAATGGTCCCCATCCTGGGGTCTTTCAAACTTGTTTATTTCCCCATAGGAACAATTAGCTTAGCACTTTTCTTTTTGAGATGAAAAAAGGCTTTGAACAATGAATGCTTCTCACAGCTGGCTGCACCGTGTGCAATACTCAAAAAACAAGAAGGAGCTAATCACAGCCAGCAGTGGGGCATCAGCCCTCTGCCGGCTTCCAGAAGGCTTGTAATTGAGTGCAGATGGGCGCAGCGGGGAAGGGCTGTGTCCCCGCCGACACCCAGCCTGCCGGGTGGAGGTGGGAACTCCTGCAGGCCTGCAGCCCAACGCCCTCCTGGGGGCAGGAGCTGGGCTGCTGGCTGCCTCTGCCCAGCTGCCACGGCCACCCGAGCAGGCACAGGGCAGCCAAGCTTAGATGTGATGAGTCGGGGAGAGAGCTGCAGGCACCAGTGCCTTCCTGGATGCAGAGACCTGCTCAGACTCAGCTGCTCACAGATGGGGTGTGTCCGCCTCACCACTGTGAGTCCTGGGTCCCGTGTCCCTGGCCACTCCCCATCCTTGCTATTGGAGGTGGAGGGGTGGGGCAGAACCGTGCAGAGGGTAGAGACCCAGTAGCTAGAGGCCATGCTCAAAGGAGTCAGGCTCTGTACCTGGTCCCATCTCACCCCTGGCGGGCAGCTATGGCAACCCTGGACCCAGAGAATCCCCTCCACAGGTCCTCCCGAGGCCCCCACAGGCAGGCAAAGGAAAGCACATCCTCAGGTCTTCAGCCTCACATAGCCTAAACTGAGGTGGGAGGGAGGGAAGGCTGACCGGGAAGCTGTGCCGGGCTTCTGCTTGTCTCTTCTGTCAGCCTAGCCGGAAGCTGTTTTACCTTCTGCCGGCCAGGGGATATGCAGAGCCCTCCCTGTGGCATCTGCCCCAGTGGCCTGCAGCCCGTTCCTCATGGACCATGCAACTTGGCATAACACAGTCTCCACAAATAAAGATGGAAGGGGATGTGGCTCAGTGCTAAGGCACCTGGGCTTGCGTCTCCAGTATGCACACAAAAGGGAGTCGCACCTATTTGGTGGTAACTGTTGATGTCTTACCATGTTTCCTCCTAGACTCTGCTGCCTGGGTAGTAGTAGCCAGGTCTGTGTACACAGTGCCTAGCACTTTACAGTAGAAGTTAGCGCTGGTTGCAGCTCGGAGTCCTCCCCTCTGTGCCGCAGCCCTCACACCACTGTGATGTGGGCACTGCTCCGCACCCCAGAGAGGAGCCTGGCCTTGGAGACGCGAGGCACCTCGTGTCGCCAGGAGCACAGCCAGGTGTGAGCACAGGCAGTCTGCGCACCCCACAAATAGCCACCATTGTTTACTGGATGATGCCCCCAAATAAACACAGGAAAGTACCCCAAAACACCAGCTCTCTTTACTGTCATTACCCTTTTCAGGGAGCAAGCTTCTGAGTTGCTGAACTGTTAGAGTGCTGACGGGGTGACAGTGTTTTCTTGGGAGAGTCATTGAAAAGAAAATTCAGTGGTTGTGTGTGCATCCTTGGGTGTTGTGTGTCTTTCTGATGGGGGAAGTCCATGCCTCTAAAAAGCTTAATCTTTCATATCACAGAATTATTTAAACTCCTCTGATGCCCTGCTTCTCCTGGATCCATGGAGCTCCACCCAGAGAAGTCAAACTTTTAGTAACAGTCCAAATAAAGCTTGGGAAGATAGGGCTGGGGATTTAGCTCAGTGGTTCTGCCACCTGCCTCACAAGCGCAAGGATCCAAGTTTGATCCCGGTTTAAAAAGAAAAAATTGGGAAGATAGTGTTTCTTGAAATACGCAGTACAGGGAAGCAGCATAGTGGGTTAAAATGGGCGCGGAAGCCAGGCTGTCTGGGTTTAACTTGGAAGGTCAGGCAGAGGCACATTTGAGACCACAGAGGCAGCCAGAGTCCAAGCAACATGAAATGAGTTTGTCACCATCTGAGTGCAGATGGGCCAATGGTGAGAAGGCCGCTGGCACTGAGAGGAGGGTGCGTGTGGCTCTGTGGGGGAGATTAGGTAGGGGAAGGGGTGCTGGTGGAAGGGCGGAAGATTTTAGAGTCACGGGGTGTTGGCCTGGGGCTGGCTGGTAAACAGGGCGGGCGGGCTGAGAGAGCAGCAGGGCGCGGCTGGCTTCTTGTTATCTCGGTGCTGCTGAGGATGTGGGCAGCCAGGCTGCTAGGGCAGGGTTGGACCTGGAGACCTGTCATAACTCGTTTTCCTACTTAATTAGCTGTGCAACTTTTGGCAGATTTGTTCAATTCTCAGTGCCCCGTTGCCATATATAAAGCGGAAATGACAATAATTCTGCCTTGAATTACAATTAAATTAATCCATTCAGGGCCCTTAGGAGAGAATCTAGCATACGGTAAATGCTCAATAAATCTGGGTTTTTGGAGACGAG